AATGCACAAAGACCTGGAGTTAGAAAACTAAAAGGAAAGAACATGTTCTGCATTTCTCAAGCTGAAAGAACTGAAGAAAAAAAAAAAATCAAGCCTTCTGTTGCAACATACGGACTAAGTATTGAATGATGCAGGACCATCAAAAGACGATGAAGGAATACACAGAGTCACTATACCAACAAAAGATTCAGTTACGCTCAGCCCTTTCCAGAGGTAGCATGATGGTACTGAAGGAAGAAGTCCAAACTGCAATGAAGGCTCCGGGAATGGATGGAATACAAATTGAAGTCTTTCAACAAACTGATGCAGCACTGGAGGCACTCACCCATCTTTGCCAAGAAATTTGGAAGACAACTCCAAAGAAAGGTAACCCAATGGAATGTGAAAATCATGGAACAATCTCATCATCATCATACGCAAGGAAAAATTATGTCAGGAATGGAGCTGTTATTCCATCCAAATATTTGGTTTGTTACTTCTCTAGTTTTGTACCTCAGCTGGGATGAAATCTCCCTTCTAGTGTTTACTTTGCCTCCATTTCTTTTGAGCCATAGCCAAATTATTTATTTTTTTTGAAACTTGGTGTGCTCACAATGCTATCCATAGTTTGTTGGATACAATCAAATGCCATTGCATAGTCACTAAAACACACTCTCTTTCTGGTATTCTCTGCTTTTAGCCAAGATAGATCTGACTTCAGCAATGACAGCTGTCATTCTATGTCCTCTTCTGAATTTAGCTTGAATTTCTAGCAACTTCCTATTGATGTACTGCTGCAACCATTTTTGGGTTATCTTCAGCAAAACCAATTTTGCTTTTGAATAATAAGAATAACAATTTTGAATCATAGACTAATAAGTGCATAAGGTCGCTATGGGTAGGTATCGACTCGATGGCACCTAACAACAACAACCTAGTTGTAAATTGCTTAGATGTACTATTTCTTAGATTACATGAATGCTATAAAAATTGTCTGGTAAAATCTTTCTGTACTGAATTACAATATTAGCTACAATTTTAGCAACTGAGTGGAAGCCTTTTTTTTTTTTTTCTCCTTTTCCTTTAATTATTACTTCAGTCTCAGAAAAATCATTAATATAGGTTTTACAAATGCTAATTACCACAGTATTATAGGTAAAATACCGAAAAAGTTGGCAAAAACAGTGATTATAAAAACACCAGCAGCGACGAAAACAGCAGCAAGCGCCTGTAGCATGTGCAGATTAAACCAAGGGACTCGAAGCGACGCTGTTAGTGGATAATAATGACAGCTTTGACCAGAGAATATTGTTGTTGTTGCTAAGTGATGTCAAGTTGTTGCTAAGTAATGTAGAGTCCTGACTCATAGCAACCCTATGGATTCCCAAGTGCTTTATCCCACAGCATCACACCAGGACTCTGAGGGACCCTGAATAGGATTTCCAAGGAGCAACTGGTGGATTTAAACTGCCAGAATTAAACCGAATGGGAATTCCAGAACGCTTCATTGTGCTCATGTGAAGCCTAGACATCGACCAAGACACAGTTGTTCAAACAGAACAAGGAGACACTGAATGGTTTATAATCAGGAAAGATGGGTGTCAGTGTTGCATCCTCCCCCTACAATCTGTATGCTGAGGAATTAATCTGAGATCTGAGATATATGAAGAAAAACACAGCATCAGAATTGGAGGAAGTTTTCATTAATGACCTGTTATATGGAGACGGCACAACCGTGTTTGCTAATGAAGATCAAACAATACAGTCTTCAGTAGAGATCACAACTCAATGTAAACACAACAAAAATCCTTATAGCTGGACTAGTAAGAACATCATGATAAACAGAAAGACGATTGAGGTTGGGAAGGGTTTCATTTTACTTGGATCCACAATCAATCCACATGCTGCTCATAGAAGCATCAGTCGAGAAATCAAATAACAAATTGCAACTAGCAAATCTGCTACACAAGACCTCTTTAAAGTATTAAAGAGGAAAGATGTCACTTTGAGGACTATAGTATGACTCTAGGCCTTGGTATTCTCAATAGCCTCTCATGCATGTGAAAGTTTAACAATGAATAAGAAAGACTGAAGAAGAATTGATAGTATTAAATTAAGGTGTTGGTTAAGAATGTCGGAAGTATTATGGACTGCCAAAAGAAAGAACAAATCTATATTAGAAGCTGTACAATCAGAAAGCTCTTTAGTATTGAGGATTGCAAGACATCATCTCATGTACTTTGGACATGTTCTCAAGAGGGGGCATTCACTGGAAAAAGACATCATACTTGGAAAAGTAGAGGGTCAGTGAAAAAAAGGGCCCTCAATGAGAAGGATTGACATGGTCGCTACAATAATGGGTTCAAATGTAACAAAAACTGTGAGGAGACTACAAGCCAGACAGCATTTCATTCTGTTGCACATGTTGTTATTAAGTGCCATTGAGTTGGTAGCTACTCATAGTGACTTTATACACAACAGAACAAAACACTGGCTAATCCTGCACGAGTATCACAATCATTGCTGCGCTTGAGTCCATTGGCTACTGATACTGTGTGAATTCATTTCTTTTTCGCTGACCTTCCACTTTACCAAGCATGATGTCCTTCTCCAGGGATTGGCCCCTCCTGGTAATATGTCTGAAATATGAGGGATGAAGAAACATTCTGGCTGTACTTCTTCCAATATAGATTTGTTTGTTCTTCTGACAGTACGTGATACTTTTAATATTATCTTCCAACACAACACAATAACTCAAATACATCAATTCTAATGTCTTCTTTATTCATTTCCCAACTTTCACTTGCATATGAAGCTAGAGGCTACTGAAAATACCATGGTTTGGTTCACACACCTAAATCCTCAAACTGACATCTTTGCTTTTGAACACTTTAAAGAGGTTGCTATAAGTCAAAACCAACTCAACAGCAACCAACAACAACAAAATCTAGCCAGTGTATCTCAAATGACAGTAACATGGGAGTTCTGCTAAACTTTAGCTCCTTGACCTCAAACTGGGAGATACTTTATTTTACGTTGACTCTGACTTAGGCAGTTGTCTATGTCTATGAACCTTCAGTTCTTCAGTAACATTTAGAGGATAGGCTTGATTGTTAATGAACTTTGTATTTATCTTACAATGCTACAGCAAAATTTACTGACTAGCTTTTTAATGGTCAATAGGTAGCTTCTAGCAAAACCTAGGTTTTATATTTGTCCTTCATCTTCTATCTTCATCAACATATAGTTGTATGTACAAATATCTATTATAAATCGACTCAGACTTTTTCTGGAAGCAAGAAACATGTTAGAAGTAGCATTATTATCTCAAAAAGAATTGATAAGAGAATTGACTTCTCACCCACTGGGATCCTGTCTCTTTCCCAACCATCACAAGACCAGGCAAGAGCTACATATTACATAGTATCTAGTTTGATCACTTCTTTATAAGAGTATGAGAAAGAAAAGAATTCATTTCTTTCAGTATGCAGACTCAGTAAAAGAAAAGATTTGCCCCATGTTCTTATAACAACAACAACAACAAAAAAAA